TTGAGGCCCGGACCAACCGGCGGCTTCCGGGCCGACGGACGCTCGGATCTCCTCGAGGCGCAAACCATCTAACGCCTCGTGCGCCTCGCAGAGCAGGGCCGCGGCGACCATGTCCGCGTCGCCGCCGAAGGGCGTCCGCGCGATGTACGCGGCGATGCGCGCGCCGCGCGCTAAAACGAGCTTCGCCTCCGCGGGCGTCGACGTCATCGAGGCCCAGGTGTGCAACAACTTCGTCGCCGCGTGGGCCTTGCGGGAGACGTCGCCCGCCGCGTCGGCGCCCGCGGGGCCGAGGTCCGCCCGCACGCGTTGCCACGCGGCGTCGAAGAGCTCGGATTCCGAGGACGACGTTTTGTCGAAGGCCTCGAGGATCGCGCCCCACCAGCTCGACGAGACCTCGCCCTCGAGCACGTTCGAGAGGACGGCGCGCCGCGTCGGGAAGGCGCCCGACTCGGGGTCGTCGAGGAACTTGGCGCCGTGGACCGCGTGGTCGAACGCGTCGTCCGCCGCTTCCCCGCGCTGGAAGTCGCTGAGGATGGCGTAGGCCTCGTCCTGGCCCGGCCGCACGAGGAAGGGCGTCCACCAGTCGTCGTCGGTCGGGTTGGCGCCGAGGGAGGTCGTGGCGATCGGGACGCCGTTTCCGTTCTTCGGTGGGGTGTTTGTTCGCCGCCGCGTCTGCGCCGGGGGCGCCGGCGCGCGCGTCGTCTGGAGGCCGGGGCAGAGGCCCACGGCCGCCGCGAAGGCGACGACGCCGAGGCGCCGCATGCGCGGACGACGCGGGTGTTGCTTGGCGGCGTGACGGCGCTCGAGCGGTGATCTTAGTGGCGCCTCCTGCTCGAGCTGTGATTATCGTGCCGCTTCGGCGCCACAGCGGCATTATCAACCTGCCATCGGTGCCAACGAGTATCTCCATGGAGTGGCCTGTGGGCCCCCTTCTAGCGTGTTAGTAATGGCGTTTGCCTTTAACTTTTGAAGCTTTTGAAGCTTTTCTTCGTCGACGCACGAACTCAATCT